CTAGAGTAAGAAGATGGCAAGTCAACATTATTTCACACTTTATACTAACCTATCTCTAGAATCAGTAAATCTAAAATACAATGGCGACACGTAGGTCAAACAATAAAGATAAGACAACTTTTTTCCTACTGTAGCGTCAGTACCACCAGGAGTAAGAGTGGCAGTACCAGCTAGATTAAGATGGTGAGTCAACATCATTTCACACTTCTCACTAACCTATCTCTAGGATCAGTAAATCTAAAAATACAATAGTGACAGGTATGTCAAATCACACCTTTTCCTACTGTAGTTTCAGTACCAGCTGGAGTAAGATGGTGCGTCAACATTATTTCATACATTTTACTAACCTGTCTCTGTTATCAACTTAGCATTTGTGCTACCTGTACAAAGATACTTGTGTACCTGTAGTCAACTTTGGACTATGCTGTGCAGCTTAACACATTATATGGAGGTCTGTTTGTTGTTTAATAAAACTATGACAGATTGTGTCACATCTTGTCCTTTAATTGTTAATTCCTCTTTTAAGTGGAGGGATAGAGTTCGACATCAGAAAATCTTTGTTTCTTGGGTATACCCTGCATCAGTCTTTATAATGGCCTATTAACGTAACGTTATGAGCAATAAATAACAACACTTACATACTTTTCTGATAATTGAAACATTGTGGGTCAATTGTTTGGCTATTTCCAGCAAAGCAACTGCTACTACCTCCTTACCCTTAACATTCACATCTCCACATACAAATTGTAGTACCTATAAAGCAGTAATACTTCATTGATAGGATTACCAAGGCAATGACAGACTTTGTGTAATGACATGTTTCTGATCACGCATGCTATGTCAGAAATAGTGCCTTTCAAGACATGCTCATTAGAGACTGACTGTTGTTCTATAATGTGGAAACCTTCAATATTGTAAAAGATTCATACACTGATTACCATCAGACAGAGATTTAATGAATAGGAGTGTTTCATTAGCATCAGATCCTCCAACAATAAGTAACTGAAATTTAAAATTTGTAAATTAGTGGTATTAAAATAGATCCAGAGCACCTGCGAGACACACAGGGATAGATGAGCCCAAACATTACGGGTCCTCCCTCTGATGCATTGCAGCTTCTCCTTTGCTTTGTTCAACTTTTTCCTGTTGCTCAACACACTTCTCTGCCTAACTAACCAGTTAAACATAGTCGACATTTTGCCACTACATATGATATTATGTAATTTGTCGAAATCTTGTTGGGGTGCAATGGCAGGCTTTGAAAATGGTACAATGTTGACTCTTGAGGTTACTCTAAACATGATATTGATGGAATGAGTCACAAATCTGTCACTACCTTTCTTCATTTTTGGATAAGAAGTTGATGCATATTAAAGGAATTGACTCAAGAGTCTTTTTTTACATTTTCCTACCTGCCGCTTGTTGTATAGATATACTATCATTTCAGCCAGATCACAGCCTTTTGGTAGTGGATCATCACTTGCAAAGGGCAGTGTGCTACTGCTTGTCCTCTCCAATATGAAGGAATCCGTAATGCTTTCTTAAATTGAGTTATGTCTGAGTCCTAAAAACAATCAGAGTTAAAAATAAGTGATCTTGGAATACTTAGTTGTGATAAAGCTATTTTTAAGGCTGTGCTTTTTCCTGTTTTAGATGGGCCATAGGCAGCCACAATTGCACATGATATAACAAAAGAATAATGCAGCATTAAAATCATGCTTGACACTAGTATGCATGCTGCATGGTAATTGTGTTGAAAAACGTGTCTCTTGACATCAAAAAGCCTGATAAACAAACAAAATGTACATTATTCAACAAGCCATTATGTACATGTACACCTACCTCTTAACTATAGATCTATCGAATTCTGAATTGATTTTTATTTGAGGTATTAAATCTGGCACTCTTATTGATGGTGGGAGACCCTCAGCTATTATATCTGGTAACCATACATACTCACGAGAATTGCCCCATACTAGGTTACCATCAATGTCCATTTGAATTTCTTCACTTACAACCCACACTGCACTATTTGGTTGCAGCCCAATAATGGAGGCTGCCTTTAAAATGGGTGTTGTTGTGACACTGTTTCTTATGAATAGAATGAAGAGTGCAAATTGGTGCTCATTTAATGCTAGTGTCGTTACCCACTACCAAAACTTGAGTTTAACTGACTCATGAAACTCGATTTGTAGGATGCTCCCTCCACTGTGAAGTAACATTTTCTACAATAAATGCATATGTGTACATGCATTGTGTATTTATGCACAATCTTATTTACCTCTTTTTCCAGTCAATGGCCCTCTTTACAACAGCCATATATCCTGTGTTCCTTTTGGCCTCTACAAAAGCAACCTATCTTATGGCAAAATCACCTTTCAGTGTTGATTGAGGATTGCTACATCTCATGTTCCTGCACATGCATATGCTTGGATTCTCCCAGTCAATTACAAAACGAGTCTAGCATGTGAATTAAAAACTCCTGATTATATGTACATTTTAAAGGGTAAATTCAGTGTATACACATATCAGCTGGACCCAAGTATAGCTATAATTATTTAGATCTACTCACTGTCCTTTCTCCTCTCCTCCTCTTTGTTCCCAATTCACTAGCTTGACTGCTTTATTTGGTACTAATTTCAGTTACTTTTATCACTTTGTCATGTTTAAGAAATCATCTACATGTAACATCACAACTATTTTAATTTTAGTATATAAAATTACAATGCTTACACATGAACCAGCTCTGCCGTCTTAATAAGAACTAACAGGTCGTGATGGTGTTTTCATACCAGTACAGCAAGTATATTATGGACGAGATAGAGCAGTAATGAGCTAGCTTCAAAAGTGAGGGTCGAGAAACCAGAGCTCTTTAAGATGTCCAGAACTCATGAACTGTCAGCAGAACTATAATGCAGCAATCCAGCTAGCAGCAGGATTAGACTACAGCAGGGTTACAAGGAGGAGCAGAGCAACTACAAAAGAGATAGTGTAGTGGTAGCTAGAAGAGATAAGAGTGCAGCAATCCAGCTATAGCAGCAGGACTACAAGGAGGCAGCTGCAGGAGTACAGCAAATAGAAAAGAAATAGACAGTGCTGTAATGAGCAGTGACACCTAGAGTAGCTGCTAAACACCAGAAGCAGACTCGACAGCTCTTGAAGTCGAGAACGTGAACTATGAGCATACTAAGTGCAGCAATCCAGCTAGCAGTGGGATTACAAGGAGTACAGCAGCTATAAAAGAGATGGTGCTGCAATGAGCAGTGGCAGCCCGAGTGAGTGAGGGTCTGGCTTATGGAAAAACCAGTAACACAGCAGTGTGTGACAGGTTATAGTTGACTCTATAGCTGGTAAACAGCAGCAGACCAGAGGTCATTGAGAAGTCAAGAATGCAAACTGTGAGCAACATGTAGAGATGGCAATAATTTATGTAATGCCCAGCTAGCAGACAGCTGCAATCGGATTATTACAGTCCACTGCATGATATTATGGTACGTTGTCAATTGCAACAATATTATATGGAATAACAATGGTATGGTAATAATAAGTAAGTGCAATATAAAATAGAATAGATAAATAGATCTAGTGTTACAAAAACGAAATTAGAACACATGCAAAAATGGTGAAAGACTGGAAAAAAATTAATGTCAAGGCCCACAGGTGTCTTTGCACACACAAACAAGAAATCAAAGCAAGGCAACAAGTAATACATGAACTGTTTATAACGAAAATGATGATAAGGTAGTGACCAATTTACCTTGGTCGTTCATTATTTAGTCAACGTGAGGCTACTTGAGCAACCTTTCAGCCACCATACGAGAGGTAGATGTGATAAACGAGGTAGAGACATATACTTACCCTTTAACACATAGTGACATGTGCGTGGCACAAGTCATCTGGAGTGTGAGAAAGTATTAGTATTCCATCATCGTAAGACAAAGATAAGGCTATGACAAAAATAAGGAGAATACACATGTACACAGCCAATCATGGTTCATTTTGCCTGATATCAGGCATAGACCATTAATTTGGGCAAGCAGTCCTGGTACAATCATGGGGTCAGCCACAATACAGGCATGTTAGGCATATATACTGGATCAGGCCAGACCAGCTTTCATGATTCAGCAGTGATAGTCAACAGGGCTGCACCAGTACTAATATCAGGCTTGAGTCATTAATTTTGGGCAACACTTGAATCAGGCCTGAATATATTTGGCTGTGTACATTTGAAATGTGTGTGTACAGTACACTGACCTTGAACATGTCCTCTTTATGATGACTAGTAAAGAATTCAGAATGTGGCCTTGTGCATACCTCTTCAGATTCGACTCTTCCCTAGTGAAAGGACACAAATTTTATAAATTAAAAAAAATTAAAATGCATTTACAGTACAGTCAAATTAAAAAAAACCATAATTGATAGGAATCAGCTCAAACTAGATACAAGTGTAAGAGCATATATATGTAATTCTCATTTAGCCATCATTGAAAGAATTCGGCCTGAGATCAGAAGTGTGTGTGGATACATAGTATACCGTAATCAATAGCACATCAGACTTCATGAAATAATAGTCACTAACTTTGACACCATTCATTCACAATTACATTTATAAGTTGTACAAGTATAAGTAACTCACAATCTAATCAAGTTGACATTTTGTTATTAGAGCTACATGTACAACCGAGTTAGAACTGGTTATCAGAGGTAACCTGGAGGTAACCTTTACACCTGCAGAGGTAACCTTTACACCAGAGCTAACCTTATCGGGCGAGGGGGGATCAGGGGAGGAAGGATGCTGCACATATTTCTATATGTACCTGTCAAAGAGAATCTATTGACATCTTTTTAGATGCATTCTCTAGGGAAAATTTACAAATAATTCTCCATATTAATGATGTAGTAAAAATTATTAAAATAAAGACTTCTATCCAGTTTCAGTTTCACAAAATTTCTGTACAGGACTTCAAACGAACACACCATACACATGTACAAAAAGCTCAGAAAAACAAATTGTGGTAACCATTATCGGAGTTCACCTATCAGTGTACAATATTTACTTGCATGAATAAGCTGCGGTACCTTTCAAATAGTCCTCATCACATTGAGGTATATATCAAGATAACCAGTTTGAGATGGATCATAGCTGGCACACCATTCTACAAACATAGATGTATATTTGTAATTGTATTATTATGAAGTAAATGGTTTACTTCTGTAGTGTAATGACAATTACAGCTGTCTCATTTGATAATTGGAGTCTACATCAAAAGATAGAAAAATAAAAAGCATGTGAGAAAGGAAGTAGTAACACTGAATATTTTTTCAGTTTAAACTGAGTATACAATAGGAAACAACATGCTACTGAAGCATTTACAATCCCAATCTAGTCAAGTGAACTTTGTGTTGTTACAGCTATATACATTTACAGCAACATGATATGGATTGGAGGGGGGTTGGCCAGGCTATAAGTAACCTTATGGGGGCAAAAAGGAAGTTACCATTTGATGTACATGTACAAGAGACTTCATCATTTTTAGGCTAGTGGTAATTTGTTCAGGGCATTAATACACAATAACAATACAGAGATCATACAATCATTGGTATACTACCTTTAAACATGTTCACTTCATGATGACTATAGCACTTACTTTAGGAACTGGCCCAAGGAATACCTCATTGATCTGTACTTGCTCTGATCTAGTGAAAGTATTCCAATTTATCAACTTTTTGGAAAGTTCAAAATACACAAAGAATTTGATCAGAATGAGCTCAAACTCTACACACAGCATACAAAACAGGCAGATGAAAAAATTACAAAATTGGAGATTGCTCTCGGAGCCATTATTCACAACATTTAGAGTAAGTCAAGGCTATAGCCTTTGGCGTTACTTACCATATCTGTTGATCTACTTACCAACAGTGTTATAACCAGATGCTTCAGGATCAGTCAATAGCTTTACTGTGGGACTCGGCATTCTAACAGCAATAAGAATACATAATAGTACATACAAACAGACTAACCAGTTGATTTTGTACCAGGTGAATATCACCAGTCATAAAGGAGGACATGCAAATACATCATATCTTCCTTGTTCATGTTTATGATCTTCACTGTATTGCAGACGAAAGGGACAACTAATGAGTTTTTTAGGATTACTAGTGAATGCATGATCCCGAAATCAATAAGAGCTACATAGTCGAAACAGTACAATTTAATGAATAAATTCCCACATATGAAATGACAACCTTTAGATGTACCTTTGCTAATACAGACACACACTTGATGACACCTCAACAAATAAATACATAACCAAATAAGTACCGTATTTCCTTAATTAAAAGGCAGGGCGTCTTTTTCCTCAAATGGTATTTAGACCTCCAAAAAATGTATGAAAAATAAAAAAGACTTAGGCCCAGAGCAGGGTTCAAACCTGTGTCCTCATGCTTTTGACTTCTGGAACTTCAGGCATAATCCACGAGACTATTGAGTCACTTCTGGGCTAGTGTTGCATATTTATACTTAAATTGTATCACTACCTCAGCGTTTATTCAAATGCAACTTCTATTTAAGGATTGACGGTATATAACACATGTACAGTGATTTTCCAAAACTAATCAAGTGCACATTTTACAGCTACACTTACAACAATATGATAGGGTGGGTCACCAAAGGTCAGTCAGGTTACCTTTGTTGAAGTTTCAATATGTACTACAGAAACACAAGAGACTTAACCATTTTTGTGTCAGTGACAATTAAATAGTTTGTAGTACACTAAGTAGAGCATATTTTTTTATACCTTTTCTGATCTATACTTACTCTGCCCAGAAAAAGAACTACAATTTATTAACATTAAAAAAATTTTATTGTGTACTTGGTTTAGCGCTTTTCATGATACTGACATTTCATTGGTATTTAATTTAGTGTTTTGATCTTTTAATATTAATAACTATTAATATTTCAATCAGAAATTAAAGTCGGATTTAAGTTAGCAATTTCCCTAAATGGCTGAAATTCACCAAATTCAATACCCCCTGTCACCTTAAGTTACATTAACATTTTTCTAAGCAACGTAAGAGAAACTGTGTCTTACAACATTTGTATAAATGGAGAATTATCAGTAGTCATTTCTAGAAAAAATTACCCAAAACTTTAAAGTCCAAATGACATACATGTACCTTAAAGCTGTAATTATTTACATCGTTAGCATTAGAAATGGGTGAAAACTATAGGTGTGGTATCAGTCAAAAAGTCTTCCTCACTTTGAGGTATATTAACGTAACCTTTTATTACACATGCATGTGCAATTAACAAATAAGCAGCCCCTGAAGCTTCACTGTGTACAAACAGGCATATGTATGGTACAATTTCAAGCAATAATCACATTGGCCTATAGTCAAGTATTATAAATAGTTGTTGTACATGGAAAGGGCAAAATTGTTCATTCACAAAAATGAAATAATAACCTTGCCTAACTCACTGAACACAGACACAAACACTACACAGAACAAGCAATCAACAGGATCAACTACCACCAATAAAAATAAAGCTGAACCACCCACCAATGAAAGCAAAACACATGCACAGCCCAAAGCATTTTTAAAAAATGATCACAATACAATGCAAATAAGTCCAGTAAAATGGTACAAAGACTTGCATGGAAACCATTAATCATTCACATGCATACATTTACTTCAGTACATTGTACTTCATTGTACATGTACTTCAGTACAATTCCTATACAGGTATTGCTGAAAGTCACACACAATTGAGCAGAAGCACTTACAGTAGCATGTACATGGGTCTGTCTGCTGCAGGTGACCTTTATTGGAAAACAACTTCCACCATTTGATGTGTTCCGACATCCTAAAGTAATTGATGAGGAACATAAGTGGCCTAGTCATCACTGTATCAGCGGAAAATTGCTCATATATATCTCATTATCCAGTAATTGAGCTGCTAATGTCCTCCTATCCTCTTTTCTGGTCATAAAGGCATTCACCATTCTACAAGGACACTTTTGTAATTGTATTATTAACAGTGAAAAGACCTTTCTTTCTCCAGTATACAGTATGAGGTACTTGCTTTTAGCTGCAGGTCTTTAAAGCAAAGGGCTAAAATCAAAGAAAGAATTGTGATATTTTTACAGTAAAAACAAATTTGCACAGTAAAATGAACCTTAGCAAAGGAAACACAAGAGCCAGGCCAAAAGAATTCAGTGGTGGTTTCCTGATGAGGTGTGTCATTCTGATAATAAAAGTTTTAACCAATTAAACTCATGATTGTCAATTCTATTACTTTAGAAACCATGATGTGCACATGTAAATGTATTTTGTCGTTTAATTTTAATAATACATTTCAAGTGATACCATTGTGATTGGAGCAGTGGCAATCGACAGACAGTCCACAAGCATAACCATTAGAAGTTTCTGGCTAAAATGTATATGTAGTAGAAGAATGATGCCTATTGAAAAACCAAAATACACGTGTTTATAACGGGGAAGAAGTCAAAAATTTAGAAAATGAAAAATAGATATAAAATTAATTATCCATTCCTTGCCTCCAGAAGGCTTGCGTTACTTGTAGATGAAAAAGTCGTCACAATCCGTAATGTGAGTAATAGGGTCTTGTCGTATTAATACACAATGAAATTGACTATGATGGACATAAAGCAAGCTAGTCAGGGACAAAAAAGGGACATAAGTGCACAATTGCAAAGAAAGCAAAATACATATACACTGTACGTGTAGAAAAGGTCTTACGATTACATTGGATGGATCAACATCTGTCACTTCCTGATAATTCTTCTTATGTGAATAAAGCCTTCTTTCACAGAGTTCATGGGTTATTTACAGTTGCTTCAAAATTTAGTGTACTCCAGGTTATTTTGTCAAAAATCACCAAGAAAAAAATCTTTGACTTTGTTATAACAGATTCTTTCACAGCACTTCCTCTGTGCATAACAAAATTTGAGGAAGTGCTTTCCTCTTCAGCAGATTTCCAATTGGAAAAATCGTCATGACTTGCAAACAAAGGCTCTGAATGGTCCATAGATAGGGAATGACTTTCTTTGACATGAGCTTTGAGAGAACTGATGCGACAGAACCTGCATGAATGGACAGATAATGAAAGCAATAAATAATAATGTTCTCAAACAAGTTTACAAACAATTGCATAAGGCCAAGCATATACATACAACTCTACTATCACCTGCAAAATTTTTCATTGTATATACTTAACTCAGTATAGGCAAGTGAAGTGAGTAATGGGATGTGTGGCTTATTGTCATGCAGTCATCTTCGCCTGTATGGCATTTCATTGTGATACTATAAATATAGTAAAATTTTCCTCTAGCCATTTTGTAGTCCAAGTTTGGAGTCTAAGCATAGATAGTGCAGTAAATGAAAGAGATTGGAAACTTCCGCGTGGGCCATTTGATTGTATTGTTGCTAAGCAAAAAAATTGCTGACTAGGCGGTTTGTTACCTTTTGACCACAAAATTCATGATTGTTTTATTTAGGAAACAATAACTCCAAGAAGAGTGCTCTGATGAAAAAGAAACTTGGCTATCAAGGAGTTCAATGTTTTGCACTGTTGATTATTATTTATCTGATATTTTTAAATTAATATTTTCAGTGTTATAGCGCTTTTGCCCATAAAATTGCTGCTTTCTCCCTCTCATGAAAACATTTGTAGCTAAACTCTAAAAACTTGTCAGAATATAAAAGAACTTTCAATTACCTATGGAATGATATAAGATACTGCTATGATAGCAAAAGTATGAAAGCTGTAGAGGCGAAAAAGTGTCAAAAAAGATGCCGACTTTGTGTACCCATAACTGGTCGCAAAATAGCTATATTGAAACAAAAGCCTTGCTATAGGTAGTCATAAACTTTCTATGTGGAACAGAAGGTATATCATAAGCAAGCGCTTTCTACTAATCGGCATAAGAATATCCAAACATGAGATAAATGCAATGGAGCACAACCATCATAAACTTATTTTGAGTATAATATGGCAATGTTGTCAATGCGTTGTACTATAACCATGGTAGTACCATAGATACTGCAGTTCTTTGGCGGTACGAATTATACTTGAACCGACTGTTCCTTTGACCCAGCAAGCTCAATTGCAAGCTTGACTGTAAGCATTATTATCCAAAAGATCTTTTAAAAATTATTTTGATAGTATAGTATCAATTAAACTGATAAGATGCCGAGGAAGTTCAATTTGACATGAAAGAAACATCACCATGGCAAAGCACAACAGCATGCCAGCCAGTTCACTGCAATTATGAAAATCAAAATATTATAGTATTACAAGCAACAGTTATGCAAAAAGCAGCAATCACTACCACCACAGTGGGTGTCCACTATGAACTCCAAACAGCAGTTAAAACTGTGCAGAATTAATGACAAAGATGAAGTCTCATTCTCAGTCACAATCCACGATGACCTCAGCTTCTGTGTATCACTGTTTAATCGTCCCATTCACATAGACACTGTGGCACAATATCACAAAAATTTGCAGCACAGAGACGATTTTGACCATTATTAACACAATTCAAAAAGTCAGTATCTGTGAAGGAAACCCAGAGGATAAATTCATTGAATTGGCTTTTAAAAAGAAATTGGAAGTTCCTTAATAATCAAGGTAACTACAAAATAATTATAACTTAATGTCACCATTTGAACTATAACTTTAGGTGCTGAAGTAGCATCAATAGATTACTAGCCACTTCCAACTGTACGTCATATTAACTGTCTCTACTCATTACATCATCTGCAAACAGCATCAGATGTACCTCATGCACAATGCATCGCAGAAGTCTCTACTCTCTATTGTCAGTATTAACTGTTCCAAAAAGTTCAAAAATATCCAAATTTACCAACAACAGATACATAGGCAACCAAACAAAAAATTCAATGGTTAGCCTTCAATCTCAAAATACAATAGCTCAAAGAGAAATCACATCTTTGAAAGCAACAATAGAAGAAAAAAATGCACGGATTGCACACCTGGAAAAAATGATAGAACATGATGACCACTCAATAACAGTAAATCAGAACACTCATCAAGACTTGTTCAGCATAATGCAGCACCACCACAATGAAATAACAAAAGCGTTTCCTGAAGATAGCTTCCCATACATATTCTGGATGAGCCAATACAAAGCTGCTACACGAAGTGCCTTGCCTACAGGGATGCGTTGGAATCCAGCAATGATTAGATGGTGTGTTTACCTCCAACAAAAATCTTCCACAGCTTATGAATTGCTAAGAAAGTCAAAATGCTTACACTTACCATCTCAATGCACGCTCCGTCAATATATTCACCACAATGAACCAGAAATTGGTTTTTCGAATGAGCTTGACAAGCAACTCGTACTGGATTCCAAGCTACAATCATTGGAGAGCCATCAGAAGTATGTAGGCATCATCGCCGATGAGATGTACATGAAACAGGGGCTTGTGTACGATAAAACAACTGTTGACTTAGTGGGGTACTGCAGAATTGGAGATCAATGACCACCTGTTACAGCTAGAAAGAGAGTACACAGAAAGCAATTGGAGATGCATCTAATAATACACATTCATTAGCTAAGACAATGCTTGTTTTAATGATAAGAGGCCTCTTCACCAGTCTCACTTTCCCTTATGCTTTGTTTGTCACATCAAATCTAACGGGAGAACAAATGGTACCAATATTCTATAAGGGTATAATGAGAATAGAGAGATGTGGCTTTAAAGTATTGACCATCACACTCGATGGCTGTTCTGTCAATCGCAAATTCATGCAAATTGTATCTAATCCAAATACAACTGTACCTCATAAAATTAAGATTCCGTTGAGCAACAACAGCCGTGAAATCTTTCTTTTCTCCGACCCTTCTCAACTCATTAAAATTGCCAGCAACTGCCTTGCAAATCAGTCAAGAAACATGCAGGTAATAAAAATTATACATACAGCTGTACATGAATAAAAATTATTATACATTTTACTTTACATAGTACAACGGAAATTCCATTAGCTGGAAGTTTAAAGTAAAGCTGTATCATATCATAACAGAATCCACAGGCCTCACAGTACTACCTAATATCAAATATGAGCACGTTTTCCTGACAAACTTCTCCAAAATGAAAGTTGATCTAGCAGCTCAAGTTAGTTAAAAATACACTGTACATGTATGTAGATAAGTTTACTCGTCCTTTCATTATAAAGGTTCTCAGTCAAATTGTTGCAACAGCCCTTAGGACATACCTAAAGGAAGAATCAGAAGAAACAGAAAAATATATAGAAATGTTTGATAAAATTTTTGATTGCCTCAATGTCACAAATTACACATGCTACACCAAAAGGAAGTACTTTCAGTCACCATATAGATGGAATAATGACTTGAGGATTAACGTATAAAAAATATATGCATAAAATTTGTATTTCAAGAAGAAAACCCACTTAGTGGATGCAGTCTGAATTCCTACCATGGTTAAAAAACTGGGAGGACCAAGTTAAATCAAAAGAGGACTTAAAGGTGAGGGAGAAAAATAATTTAATCAAAAGTCAGGAAACATTACTGGGAATCAGAATAACTGGTAAAAATAATTAATTCTTAAATTACCATAATTTTACTATAACAATAGCTTACTCTTTCATTGATTTGCTTAAATGTATCATTATTATTCCTGGAGTTAAGTCTTTTCTAAGTGAGCACATATCTCAAGATCCATTGGAAAAGTATTTTGGAAGGCAAAGGCAGAGAGGCTGTGTCAACGAAAATCCATCTTGCCATCAATTTTCTCAGAACAGCAATGCCCTTAGAATGGTCAACACCATTAAGATTGATACTCACGGGCAATGTCCATACAAGAAGTGAGTTCAAGGATTTGCCAATGATATCAACAGAACCACTACCAAAAAGAGAAAGGACCACACAACAATCTCAAGTTTAAAAAACAACTATTAAAACAAAAGTCACACTATTAAGTAAGATAATATTATACATGTCCACGTGGTTTTTAAAGTTTAACCAATAATTATAGGTATAGTCACAAATGCTATAAAAGACAAGGGGTTTAGCATTTCTTCTGCTGAAGCACGTCATGCTGAACTTGCTGTAGAAATGAATGAGTGGCTATTGAAAGGAGATGATGCAGAAAAATTTGACCTATTTCTTCAGAGTCTGTTTAATCTTTCTGTGCCTCCAACCAACAGTAAAATACGTCAAGCTATATGGATCCGCTTCTCACAATTTACATCATCATCTGAATATAGCAATTTTTGGTCATGTCTATATACCGATGCAAAAATACAAGGATCAAATATTCTCTCATTTTATCTCACATTCTTCTACTTCATTCACCATTGGATTGAAGTCTATCCTACAAAAAGCTCTCCGTACATTGTTGACAAAATGTCTCACTTGTCTCCCGATAAAGAAAATGCTCTGTGGTACGTTGGTGGCTACATTATTAGGAAAATAAGAAATAAATTATTGGAAATACAAGATATCCTAAATACCTTCATCGAAAACTATGATCAGAATCACAACACCACAGCACAGGACACCTGAACAGAATTTGAGAATGAATGGTTTAATGCCATTATTTGAGGGGGTCTCATCAAGTGCACAAATGGTTTTTATCGATTCCTGAGAGCCTTGGAGACAGAAATACAAACATATCTGAACACCATGCCAGCAAGAGACACCACACACTCATTAGGCCAGCCAAAAGAATTGGCATTGAAGATTATCAAGCCTAGAGTGTCTGATGCTTGGAAAACGCTGTTAATAGAGGTCGAAGCTCAACAGGAAGTGACTCCAAGCAGTACCACCGATATTGTTATCACAGAAATTATAGAACTGTATTTGAGAATTAGGTTTCACCTTTGTTGACAGGAAGATGGAGCATTTTAAAAAAGAGAAGAAAGAGCAGCTACAAAAAGCAGAGTTTAAGATCTAAGCTAAATGTTCAATGATAAAGACTATACCTCATGCTACAGCTTCAAGCCTCCAACTGTCCACATATATATAACTGTCATTCTGATTCTTTCTCTGTCCTCGCCTGACTAGTCTTGCATGCACTCTTATCTGTACCCCTAATAGCTATTATCAAGAGTTGTAGACTTTTTTTTGGCTCGCTCTTAATCCACTCGCCTCACATGTTGATTCATATAGGTGGTACCATTTATGAATAATAATTATTTCACATAATAATTAGAATTATTGCGGAATAATAGTAACCAGGGGTGACGAAAACCTCATCGCCAGGCGGGAACGGTAGTTTCCAATCTCTTTCATTTACTCTACTATCTAAGGTCTAAGACAGTTTGTATGCTCCTTCAAATTACACTAACTATTGCTGTTACGAGAGCAAGAAGATTATTTTCAATATGGGACTAGATTAAGAACAAGAATGACAGACGATAAGCTGTCAGATCTTTCCATTGTGAAGTAGCTTAGGAATTACAAGATGACAGCATAATTGATAAGTTTGCTACTACCGATAAGAATAGGCATAAATATTGTTTTGTTCTAAAAATAATTATTTAGTCAGTGTGCACACTTAAATTATTGACCACAACACTAATGAATAGTTTATTGGCCCCTGAAGCCTAGATCCACCCCTGCCGCACATAATATATGTTGTATGTACACGGTAGCATAATGAATGATACTTAAAATTTTATAAATCTTACTCAATTTTGTAGCCCACCCTAAATATTCATTATTACTGTGCATCAGTCTATTAAATTATAGTACAAAACAATAAATATCAAACACGGCATGTTGTAAATTTTTCTTATTTAAATTTTCTGATGCATGCAAACTGAATCGGACTTTGCCGATTAAAAAAAAGGACATTGTAGAGTTCCAGTCGCATCAATCCTCTCTAGATAGCACTGCTTTATGTGCCTAGCCAGTCCTTTCTTATCAGCGTAGGATAATTCACAATAAGAACAATTTATTCTTGATTGACGTGAAGAATCCTCTATAGAATTAGCAGCCATGATCATAGATCCAAGTGGTATTCATGCAGCCACAGCCACAGGTTTTATGGCAGTGCCTGAGTAGCCGACCGGCCCAGTGCGCCCATATGAGATGGGACTAGAATTGATCGATCGACAGCATAGGCACATGACCACCACGGTGGGACGAGACTCTATCATGGCCAGTGAAAAAATAGTAAGGAAGAAACCATCTCCAATTCTGAATTCTCCATCATGTTACATACATGTATTTGTTTAGATAGCAAAAACTAAATACTATAGAGAAAGAGACGGATGAAATACGTAATGTAATTCGGCAACTTTCCGAACAAAGGAAATCAAAAATCTTAATGGTTAAATCTTTAAAAGCCCAATTAGTAAGTATGGTACATGTGTATTGCCACAACTATTGTGAATATCATTTTTGTATAGGAAGTGGACACTGGAGTTGCTCTTCACCGAAATGAATCTTTTCAAAAGAACAAAAGAAGGCCACTCTATCGGCATAAATACTGAGAATTCATTAACTTTGTAGTGTACATCTAGATTTATTGTTTAAAAATAATTATTTGAGTGTAGTCAATGTAACATAGAGTCATTATTAGATCTATGTGCATTCAAAACATTCACTGACACCACTAACACTACAGATACCACTGGACCACTGACTGATACTACAAACACCACTGATATGACGAACACCACTGACACTACAAACACCACTGACACTACAAACACCACTGACACTACAAACATCACAGAGACCACTGACACAACTGACACTACTGACACCACTGACACCATTGACACTACAAACACCACGAACACAACAAACACCATTGACACTACAAACACCACTGACACCAATGGCACTCTAAACACCACTGACACTACAAACAGCACAGACACCACTGACACCACCAACACTACAAGCAACAGAGACACCACTTGCACTGCAAACACCACTGACACTACAAATACCACTGACACTACAAATACTGTTGGCACCACTGCACTACTGACACCACTGGCACTACAAACACCACTGACACTACTAACACCACAGACACCACTGACAGTACTGGCACTACAAACACTATGGACACTACAACACCACTAACACTACAAACACCACTGACACTACAAATACCACTGACACTACGAACACCACTGACACTACAAACACCACAGTCACCACTGACAGTACAAGCACCACAGACACCACTGGCACTGCAAACACCACTGAGACTGCAAACACCACAGACACCACTGACACTCAGACACCACTGACAATACAGACACCACTGACACTATAGACATTACTGACACGAGTGACTTTACAAACACTATGTCTATAAGAGACATGCTCTTTGGACAGGCTTGAATGCTCTTTGGACAGGCTTGAGGAGCACTCTATGAATATAGTTATGCTAATAAATATAATTGTTACTCAGTAAACAATAGCATCCTGGAGTATCCAAAATGCCTCATCGCTGTATGTAATGGCACTGTTCAAGCCACTTTTTTTCATTTTAAACTTGTATGGTCATGTAATCTGCCATGTGATGTCATTTGTATCCAGGAAATTACACGGAAACATAAAAAGGTTTCACAGCAATTTCTCCACTTCTTGCTTCAAACAACGATGTACGAAGGCTTATAACTCGAGATGGGTAAGCCACCTTAATGCGCAGCAAACACAAATCAATAGAAAATTGTGTGTACAAAATTTTTATATAATATAATTGTCCAATTTGTGACCATAATTGACAAAATGTACCTAATTGCGGATTTTAAAATTCATCATCAAAATGAAAAATGTCATCCTGTGAGTCCTCTGTTGGACAAGTATTGTTTCTAAAAGTTGCACAGGAACGTTTTACATCCTCTGGAGTATTTTTATGATTAATGAAGCTCAGGAAGTTGGATTTTTTAAGCTATAATTTCAAATTTCACTACCTGCCATGAGGTACCTTTTGTCAATTATGGTCACATTTTTTTGTGCTAAGGTCAATTTTCTAAGACCACGCCACATTTAAAAATTGAGAATTCCTCCGTTTCTATTTTTTGTTTAAATACCATGTACTATAGCACTGGCATAAGAAGCTGCATGAGGACTATGCCAAAATCATGTAAAAAAATGTCTATCGTTTCATAAATATTGCAGATCAAATTAAGCAATCTTTACAAAACGCATCAACATTGTCTGAATTTAATATCAGGCTCTGCATGTGTGCATATATTCATGTCAAAATATGTAATAATTCTATCCTATCAACTGATTATGACAAAACAATGTACTTATGTAACCCAAATAAAAATTTTTATTCCAGCACTTATTATCAGAATTATGTGTCAATTTAACGCACACGAATCAAACATACATTGTAAATTTACCATTTTGTGGACAAAATAGGTATATATGCATAACATAAAGGTAGACAAGACATCGTTTAAATGAAACTAATCTAAATTGAATAATTAACAGGTACACCTTATGCAATACCAATGAAACATGATCTTCAAAATATATTCATTGATGTATAAATTGTAGTAAGTTATATATATATGTAGTACACTTACCAAAAATAGTTACCATACAACAAAAACAGGATGTTTTTTGTTGGCTCACCTTTCTTGCCAAAGATCTTAGTATGTAATGAAGGTATAATTTCTTATTTATTCATGGACTAATTATTATGAATGTAAAAGCAAAGTTCTCCCCTGGTGCTCACTTAAGTGGGTACATTTTTTATAATGACCTATAATGTTTAATTCTTTTCAATTTAGTATATATTTTTTAGTTTTAGACGAGAGTAGAGAAGTTTAGTCAAATTCTATTAATAAACTTGCAGTCGACTTAAAGTATCATTAAATTGCTGAGTCTAATGTGGTGCAAACTTACTGTAATGACTGCAAACTTTCTTATGGGTTATAGTAGTAGTGTTAGAGCCCTATTATGTTGGGACTAGATTACATGTAAAGCACGTATTGCTGAAGAATATAATGTGTAATAACTAATGAAGACCTAGATTTTCTAGTATAATGATTTTTATCATAATATTTCATAGTTGTAATTAAAGAAAAATCAACTTCGACAAATTAATGTAAAAGTAATGTCTTGTTTACATTCTTTATATATACTATTAACTTGTGAAAGAAATTGTGAATTATTTACTATAATTATATTTTAGTATAACTTGTCTCCTTTTTTCTGTTTCCTTTTGGTTGAATGAATTCTTTTAACCCTTTAATTAGTAAATACTTATTTTTTCATATAAGATTAATAATTCTTCAATGATGAAATACGTATTTTTACGTACAGCGATTTCTTAGCAACAAGCGCTTATCTTTGCTGCTGTCAAAAGAGGTGTTAATTGTTTAAGTGTTTCTTTGACTCCTAAGTACTAAAATGATGGCTAGATGATACAATGCTGATGAGGCATTAGATCTAGTCATGGATGACGACTCTAATGAAGTTTTCTGTTCAGACTCCGAAGATCATCTTGGATTTGAGGATGAAATTGATGAATGGTTAGATATTTGAAAAC